TGAGTTTAATAGAGTAATAAAATGAAGACTCTTCATTTTTCTAACTCTTGTGTTTTCTTAATGGTTTTAACTCAAGTGTGACTCTTGGTTTTCCATAACTTAAGGATAAGTTATGGACTCCATTAAAACACATTATGATCAAGAATTAATCTACCAAATAGGTTACAAATAATTCATATGATCATCTAAAACATCATAAGAACAAGAACATGAATATGAACACAATCAAAAATTACATAAAACTTTGTAATTTTGATAACTAGTTGTTGTAAATGAATTAGCAAAGACATTACACCACCAAAATCAAGTTTTCAATTACCAAAACAGTTTAGGGTAATGTTTCTAATTCATTTCCAGCAACTGAATCGAAATTCTGCACTCAGTCGACCCTACTCGCCGAGTGCATGAACTGACTCGCCGAGTTGGTTGAAGATACTCATGGACTCGACGAGTCCCCCCTATAGACTCGACGAGTCCATTCGCAGACAGCAAAATTTCCGATTCTGTTTTCAACTTTTAAGCACAAATAAGAACAAACAAGCCTAGGCTATGATACCACTAATGGGTTTTGAGCATTCTAACACTTCCTAAGTGTACATGCAACCCTAATAACCTTGGATCTATGTTTGTCTAATTGGCATGCAAAGTTGAATTCCAAGGTTATATTCCTATCTAGCATACATGGGGAACAATTTTAACTTAAAGTATAGATAGAATAACTTACCTTGTTGTTGTTTGTGTTCCTTGAAACCTTGTGAGCCTAGCACCCCAAGTGTGATGCCTCAAATGCTTCACACAACACCAAATGCTCTTGGAAGAACTTATGAGAACACACACTCTTCAAAATCGGCCAAGCCCTCTTGTTTCTTAGTGTAGCCGATTTTAGGTGGAGAATATGTTACTTATATAGTGTTGACACATCTAGGGTTAAACCCTAATGTGTCATGACTCTTCATTTCCATGACCCATGGGTTTGTAACTCCCATGGAGCATCCATGTAGCATCTTATGGGTAGAACCCAACTTGATAGTCCATGGAGCCTTTTAGCCCACTATACAAGATATGGATGATTTACATAATCAACCCATATATTTAATTAGTTATCTTTTGATCACTTAATTAATTCTAAATTAATTCTTGATCAAACTAATCAAATAATATTATTAATATATTAGAACTTATAATATATTAATAATCTCCAAGTATTATTTCTCTCATTTAGTCTATCCAATTGCATGGTGCCATGCAACCCAAATGGACCATGCCGGGTCGGGTCAAGTACATACCAGAAATAGTTATGGACTTAGACACCGTATCCAACACCATATCCCTATGGGGCCTCTCATACTTCTTATTCAAGCCAAGAAATGCAAGAAGAAACCCTAGATTTGGCACATCAACACAAAACACGAAGTTTGGCTCTGAAAATTACCTCAAGAAGACTCCCTTGATGAAATAGCAACAGATCTAAGCTCCCCAACACTTCAAGCTTGCTCCTCTCCCTCCTTTCCTTGCAAAATCCCACAAAATGATGAACAAATGGCCTTCAAACACACTCACAAGGGCTTACAGATGTATGGAGGCTCTTAGGGTTAAAGGTGGCCGCAAATGAGGGCCATAAGGTCCTTTAAATAGGGCTTAGGACCGGGAAATTAGGGTTTCATTAAACAGCGCGGACTCGCCGAGTCCATCCCTTGGACTCGCCGAGTCCGGACGCGAACCCCCGCTAAAAACCGCGACCCGACTCGGCGAGTTCGACCACCAACCCGTCGAGTCCCCTCACAGAATGTCAAAATATAAGAAATGAAGATACCTAGGGATCCGGGCTGTTACATTTACACCTCATGGAGATGGATGTGGGAATCGAACTTCTGGATCCAAGGCTGATTTGAGCTTCTAACCAACTCTACCACTTTCTTCTTTCTTCAAAATCACACAAACAAACTCTTAAGCTCACAAATACACGAAAAGGGAACTAGGGCTTCAAAGGGAATGAATAGGGGGTGGAAGTTGAGAATGGAAGGTCCTCAAGAGAGTTAGAGCCCTTAAATAGGGCTAAAATCCGCAAAATTAGGGTTTGGGCTCTAAGAAAGTGCGCACTGTATACTAAGATCTATGCCCAACATAGATCATTTAAATCTCGCTCCAAGCTTCTCCGTCTACACAGTGTATAGAAGGCTATCTACGACCTGCGTAGATAAAAATCCAACATTACATCTTAAGAGATAAAGAAAGGAATTTACCTACAAGGATTGGGTGTTGCACACACCTTTATAGACTCTATGGTAGTGGCTAGCCAAACCAATGTATTATATGAGATTCGAGGAAAAAATCTTGCGTAATATGCGGTAAAAGTTAAAGCATTAACAAAACAATTTAGAGGCTTCAGGTTGGAACACGTGTCAAGATCAAAGAATAAAACCACAGACGCATTGAGCAAACTAGCATCCTCACTTCCCCCATTTTGTGAAAAAAGTGTTTGTAACACCCATAAAAATCATGCTAAATTTAAACTTTTTAAAATAGTTCAAAACCAATACTTATTACAAAACTCATTTTCAAAATGTTTAGTGTCAGAGTATCCCAGAATCAAATCATGAAAATATAAGCATGTGCACTATCATGCATTTGCCTTCCCGCGATCACCAGAAGTACCTGAAATAAAATCAATAACTATAAGCCCGAAGCTTAGTGAGTTTCCCCAAAATACCAATATCATACAATCATAATCATATCATATAACAAAATAGCATGCATAATGAGTCTTCAGCCTGACTGGACCGCCTCGCAGGCCTCCAGTCTATCTGGACTGCTCTTTGAGCCTTCGGCACGTCTGGACTGCCTTGTAGGGCCTACAACCTATCCGAACCGCTCGTTGTGCCTTCGGTCTGACTAGCATACCCTCCCGGGGATGTAGTCTATCTGGTTCGCCCTGGGTATGTTGGTCTTCAGCATAAAGCAGGATCGCCTCAACCTAACCCCAATCAAACAAACATGTGCACATAAATATCATACGCTAGCATATATAATAGTCAAACCGATCTAACAGATCACTAATCATAGCAACATCCTATAACCAGGATACAGACCTAACCGATCACTAACATAGCATCATCCTATATACCAGGATACCAACCTAACCAGGTCACTAAGCATATCACCATCCTAACTACCAGGATGTAAATCAATAAACATACCATGTAATAACCTGGATACAAATTCGAAAAGGGCCGACATTGGTGCCTTCGAACCTGTTAGTATAGTGAGGACAACTCACCTCTCAAGTAGCTCAAGATGATAGTATCAACCTCCTCTGAATACAACTCCAACGCCAACACCTACACCCACCAATTATCCAATTCCATAAATTCCCAATTTACCAAAATAACCCCATAAATCAAACTGGTCAACCCTTGGTCAAAGTCAAAGTCAACAGTTAAGGTCAACAATCCATGTTGACCCAACTCGTCTAGTGCAGCTCACTAACTCGTCGAGTCCTTCCAGAACTTGAGAAATCGTGAAGATCCTAGTTGACTCGTCAAGTTCCCAGGCAAATCGTCGAGTTCATGCATGTCTAAATGTCGAGAAAACCCTAATTGACTCGTCGAGTCATCTTGTTGGCTTGCCGAGTTCATGCAGAAACCCTCAACAGATAATCTTCATAGGACTCGCCGAGTTGTCCATGCAACCCATCGAGTCCCTTCATTCCTTTCTCCATTTAGATGTTTTTAAGCCACCCCAAAGCTCCATGTTGCAGATCTAAGCTCCTAGGGCATACTTCCTACATAAAGTTGCAAACTTTACGTGCATGCAAGGTGCTAAGGGCCAAAATCAAGCTAAAGAAGAGGTTCTAGGTGAGAAGAAGGCATTATCTTGCTAAAGGCTAAAACTTTATGACTATAAGGACCAAGATGAGCCAAGATCTGAAGTTTCAACTTCAGATCATGCCCAAAACTCGAAATAAATCACCAACATGCTAAAATGGCCCTAATCGTAAGCATAGAGAGATCTAGCTAGAATAAGCCAAGGTAACAACTTGTTACCTTCAAAATGATGCCAAGACGATGTATATATTGGATTCAAAAGCTTCTCTTTGTTCCAATCCCCTAGCTCCTCATATATCTTCAAAGAATGCACCAACAAAGCACTTTTAGCCTCACAACACTCAAGAATAAGATTTGGACTGGTTAGGGTTTCTCTTAGCCATCAAGGGGTAGTGAAGGACTGGAGGAAAGGATTTAAGGTCCTTTAAATAGGGTTCAAACCCTAAAAATTAGGGTTTCATCCCCCATCTCCTACTCGTCGAGTCCGGGTCCTCCAACTCGTCGAGTAGATCCAAAAATCCACGTGGGCTAACCCGCCACCCGCCTCTACACGACGAGTTGGGGGCAACCAACTTGTCGAGTAGGTCCATAAATATGTATATAATGCTTTAAAACTTGTACCTGGGAGTCGGGGTGTTACAGTGTTAGTAGAAATAGTGCAAGCAAAAGCAATAGAAGAAATACCAGTAATGACCATAACAATAGGAGCGAGTGATTGGAGGAAACCAATAATAGAATACTTGATGGAAGGGAAATTACCACAGGATGATAATTTGGCCAGGAAATTACGAGTCAAGGCACCATCTTTCATAGTGGATAATGGAGTTTTGTACAAGAAAGGATACTTAACACCTCACTTATGTTGCAAAAATGGCAAGGAAATGGAGTACCTCATAAGAGAGATGCATGAAGGAATTCTTGGAGCACACGAAGGCGCACACACAATAGTACGGAAAATCACAAGGGTCAGATACTATGGGCCAAGCATGTACCAAATGCGAAGGATATACTATATAGATACAAAAAATTCCAGAAGCACACACCAATCCCAAGGAAATCAACAACACCAATGATTAGCATTAGCAATCCTTGGCCTTTCCTTCAGTGGGGCATAGATATAGTTGGGCCTTTCCTAGAGTCACCAGGAAAAGTGAAGTTCTTAATATTCACAATATACTACTTCACCAAATAGGTTGAGGCAGAGCCACTAGCTTCATTCACAGGCCAAAACATCATAAAATTCTTTTGGAAGAAATCATTTGCCGCTTTAGGATACCCCATATGCCAATTTTGGATAACGACACACAATTCGTGAACAACCCTTTTCGAGAGTGGTCCAAAGACCTTAGGATCAATCATAAATTTACTTATGTAGCACACCGAAAGGCGAATGGATAGATCGAGGTCACAAATAGAGCAATTGTACACGGTCTAGCAACAAGGTTAGACGAAGCTAAGGGTCGATGGGTTGACGAGTTACCAAGCATGTTATGGGTATATCGGACTACAACGCGTATTGCAACGAAAGAAACACCGTACAGCCTAGTCTATTGGCCAAAAGAAGTACTACTCGAGAACTAATCGTATTAATAGACTGAATAACAAATTTAAATATAGAGAGAAATGATGAAGGTTTAAGGGAAAACCTAGATGTATCGATGGAACAAAGAGAAGTGGTGGCAATACGACAGGAGCATTATAAAAAGCAAACGAAAAGTTACTACAATCAATGAGTTAAGGGAAGATGTTTCAAGATAAGTGAAAAGGTACTAAGGAATAATGAAGCTAGTAGACAAGAGTCGTAAGGAAAGTTGAGTCCAATATGGGAATGACCATACATAATCCATGAGCCAAATAGAGATGGGTCGTATATTCTCAAAACAATGGACAACGAAATTGTGCCAAGATAATGGCAAATAAAAAACCTAAGAAAGTTTCACATCTGAAAAAGCAGGGAAAATATGTCGAATGATATGAAAATGGAGGGAGTGAAGTAACTGTTATGAAAGTCTATATTTACTGCAAGGGAAAACATGGAAAAACCGAAAGAATATAGGCTACTCGCTTAGCCAAAGAATACATTTATTCTTCATGAAACATGTAGTTCAGCCAACCGACCACATTTATACTTAAGTCAAGTATCCAACTATGACATAGGCTACCCACTTAGCCAAAGAATACATTTATTCTTCATTAAACATGTATCTCGGGCAACCGACTACATTTATACTTATCAAGTATCCAACTCCGACACAAACTGCCCGCTTAGCTAAATAATACATTTATTCTTCATGAAAAATGTAGCTCGACCAGCTGACTACATTTATACTTAAGTCGAGTATCCAACTCTGACACAGACTACCCGTTTAGCTAGAGAATACATTCATTATTCATGAAACATGTAGCCCAGCGAGACGACTACATTTATACTTAATTTGAGCATCCAACTCCGATACAGGCTACCCGCTTAGCCAAAATAATACATTTATTCTACATGTATACTTAAGTCGATTATCCAACTCCGACACATGCTCCCCAATTAGCCAAAGAATACATTTATTCTTCATGAAACATGTAGCTCGGCCAGCCGACTACATTTATACTTAAGTCAAGTACCGAACTCCGACATAGGCTACACGCTTAGCTAGAGAACACATTTATTCTTGATAAAGCATGTAGCTTAGCTAGTTCATCACGTGTATACGAAAATAATGTTGTATGCCTACTAAAATCCTTCCCAAAATTAAATAGTATCCCATTATTGTTACGGTACACACCAAGACAAACACACATGACCACATACCAACAAGGGACTTTGATTCTCTAGCATATTAATCTTGGCCGAAGCATCCCCATACCGGATAAACAGATCAGCATACATTTCCCAAAATTTCAATAACATCTCTTCACCAACAAGCTTCATGTCCTCTTTAGCCCGTAAATTAACCTTGATAGATAGAAATCGACCCCGTAAAGTTAGTAACCCATAAAAAAAACTTAAGGTACCATCCAAGAATCGTATATATGCTATCTTCAGCATAGGTAATGCAACGACATGCCTCATCCAATTCTCAAACCGAATGTAAGAAGGACAACCATCTGTGCATACAAGAAAAAAATACAAGGAATCCAAAGCTATCATACCAATGACAGGTACAAAAATATAGGTTTGTATATAAAATCGCTACATACAGGAAAAGAAAATATCTACATACCGGCCAAGGTAGGAACGATAGGATCTGAAAGCAAAGAAGACACACAACAAGGCCCTTGGGAACCATCACGTAAAAAGTGTCCAAGTGGTGAGGCATCAGAGGTCATTTATGTTTCCGAATAGGATAAGGAATATTTGAGGAAATAAGTTCCACTGAACTAGAAGAACCAACATGTGAGGGGGAAATCAAAGGACAAGAATCTTCCGAAAGTTGCTCAACATAAAAAGCATCCGATCCAAAACCAGGAAGTCTAACAGGAGAGTTAGGAACACCACAACTGGGTCCATATCTGGATGGAATCACATCATCCAACATAATAGGTTCAGGAGAAATCTCACCAGCCAAATATGATGTCAACTATAAGGGGTATTTACTACCATCTACAACATTTAATGAGCAAAGAGAAATCATACAAAAACAACATTTAGATTAGGAGATTACATGACACAAAGGAAAGTAAAAACTTTGCCAAATCAAGTAAAAAGCACGAGTAATCAGAAAAACCTACATGATGCAGAGATACTTGCAGTTGACATCGAGCCTTCCAAAAAGGGCTCATACTGCACATGGCAAGTACAACTTCCGATAAGTACGATCTTTTTACACAAAAATGAGTGAACAAAGGTATGTAAGAGGATAAATCATCAGATAAAAACATCGAACCATCGCCAAGAGGAACATAGCAAGGAGTAAAAGGAAGACATAAGCTATATACATCTACCCAAAAAAACTTACTCTTCCAGCTACCATTTTTGCGAGATAAATCAGGAGAGAGGGGGAAGCAATGTCTCAACTCCAAATATTAGACCTAGCATGGTCTAAACCCCAGCTAAGTACTAGTGTAAACCACATTGCAATCCTTGTTGCATGGTGCTCTCTATATATAGCCTTAGGGCTTGTTTATAGAGCTAACAAAGGAGTAAGGATTGAAACCTAAGCTAAGTTAGGAAGGTATAATCCAATACTTGGCAAAAGATGAGGGTTTAAACAATATATAACACACCATGTGTGTGTTTACGGCCAAGAAGCCTCATATCGAAAACTCCCTTTTTCGGCCGAGAACCCTCAGACAGCAAACCCTCTGACCGAAAGCGTGATTTCGACAGAGAACCCTCTTTCCGACTAAAAACACCCTTCGGTATATATCTCCAAAGGACTTAGTGATTTCTTCACTTCTTCACCCGAATACTCTCTTAATTATCTATCAAGGATCATCCAAGAACACTCATATCTTCAAGAAGAAACCTTTGAATCTTCACATTTTTCCTCAAGAACACCAAGAACAGCCTTCAAACCTTCAATGAGCTAAAAACACCAGCATAACCGAACACCTGCTTTCAGCCACAAATCAATATTCGGCATCAAATCAGTTTTCAGCCGAGAACTCCCTGGGAACCGAAAACCCCTTGAACACTTGTTCCATTTTCGGTAACTATTCCTAACATGAAAATAAGTGTTTTCTAACACTTTAAATTAATGGTATCGCTAATTCTAAAAACAATTATGTGTTTAACTATTATTTGGCTACCGTTAATTCCGTGTACATCAGCTCGAGGGTCATCCTTCCATACTCGTTGTCCAACACGTGTACAAATAACTGTGAGTTCATACCCCCACCTTTTTCCAAGATTTTTTCTTAATATTTTTAGGGGCAGAATACAAGTAAAACACAAGTAATCTTATGGATAAAAATATATTTTTTTTGTTATATTTTCTTATGGTTAACATGCATTTGAACAAGAAACTTACTAAACACGACAATCATTGTGACTGCTAGACTTACAAACAAATTCTAAAACATTTTAAGACACAACTATTTTACAAGTACAGATTTTTACATGGAAAAACAAACTTATAAACTATAATAAGTATAGTTTATGAAACGAATGTACTACTTTCACTAAGATACATACTATATGCAAAAAGGGTTTTCATTGTATTATTCGTGAAATCATTGAGGGAACAAATTTGTGAGAGACGGCGTTGAGTACATACCTAAGTACCTAGATAAGTCTACCTTATGAACCAGAAGTGCCTGCCCGATACGTGGGCGAAGTGGGCAGAGGCCCGGGGCAACAAAAAGATAAGGGCATCATTTTAGTGAAGTATGTTATAGTCGCCTAAGTTAATTTTGCCCAAGTCCGTTCAATCGGTTCTCCAACAGTAACTTCAATAGATGTAGGCAGGCAAAGTGCGAGAATTGAAAATTTTAATGTACTCAGCGCCTAATCTCCTGGAATAACGAAGCGTCAAGACTAAGACTCGAGAATCAAGACGCAGAATACTAGGAGTCGAATCTCCTGCCAATTTCTTTATCAAATCACATGATTTGTGTATACCCTCATCACTCTTTCAATCGATTTCTAAATATCCTCTCACCTTCTGTCCTGATTTCTTCTGTTTACATGAATACCTAATTCTGAAAAGTGAAGACTAATTATATTTAGTTGTGTACACTTCAGCCATTCAGAGGTATGATTTTCGATAACTAATTTGTTGGTTGTGCTTATTTTATTGTTCTTCTGACCACAATCCATTTTTTAAGATTTTGATTCTCTCTCTGATTAATTCGAATTCATATATTTGATCCAGGAGATATATATATATTTCTATCTAACCTTCTTATTATGAAATAATTGTGTTTACAATTTCAGATTACTTAGTTAAATGTTCGAGCCTTAAAGGTCTGGTAAGTTTTTCTTATTTTGATTTTGGGTTAAGGTTTTGTCCGTTTTGATTTTTGATGAATACTTATAGAAGACAATAGCCTACACTTGCTCTTTTTTGTAAACATTACTTTCTATCCATTACCAATTCCCAGCTTCTTATATCTTATTGTAAGGAATTTTTTGTCATTTCATAGGTAAAGAGACTGGAAATAGAATGAAGAATTAAAGTTTCAAAATTTGAAACTCATTCTGTAGCACCTGGTTCCTGGTACGTAAAATTTATCTAAGTATTTGTCATTTTAGCCTTGGACTCGGCGAGTTGTAGGTCCGACTCGCCGAGTAGGGATGCGGTCCGGGGGTACATTTAAGTTGGCGACTCGGCGAGTCCATATTCTGAACTCGGTGAGTCACCGCTGTTTGATGAAACCCTAAATTTCAAGGGTTTGCACCCTATTTAAACCCTCATTTCCGCCCCAAGCTCGCCCCCATTCACCCTCAGAGCTCCCAACATCGTCTTTACCCTTATTCCTTGTGAGATTGAAGTGTTTTGGTGTGTTCTTGAAGTTTTTGAGGAGAAAGAAGAGTAGATCAAGAAGAGGAGAAGGAGGCCAAGCATCTTTGTGACATCTCAACGTTTTCCTTGAGGTATAGCTCATTTCCCCTCTGTTTTCAAGCTTGTAGTCCCTAATAGCTTCATGAAAGTCCTTCTTGAGCCATTCCCCAAGCTTGTTTGTGCTTTGTGGGTTGTATTAAGTTGTTAGCCTTTAGATCTAGGCATGATTTAGTCCCTGGAGCTTGGATTTATGGAGTCATATTGCATGAAAGTCCTAGATCTACCCCTTTTGGTGCACTTTGAGCCCTAAAACCTTCATTGGTGATTATATACATGTAAAGTTGGAAACTTTACATGTAAACCAGGCCCTAGGAATCGAGATCTATGAATGGCATGGGCTGGATTCAAGCAAAATTGCGTGTATAGTTTTTGCATGAGGCAGACTCGGCGAGTCGTTCATCTGACTCAGCGAGTCAGGTCGCGAGTCCTCGGGTTTTTCCCCTTTTTGTGTTTGCGGGTTGGAGTAGTGAGTCATAGGGTATGACTCAGTGGGTTGGAAGCCAAACTCACTCATGAAGTCACTCGGCGAGTCAATGCCATAACTCGGCGAGTTCATGGCAATCTTCTTGTCTCAAGAACAACTCGGCGAGTTGTTCATACAACTCGGCGAGTCACAGCTTAGAGTGTTCTTCGGATGAAGGCGAACTCGGCGATTTGTTCATACAACTCGGCGAGTAGGATGAAGGACTATTGGACTTGGGTATAGAGAAAGGGACTCGGCGAGTTGGCAAGCCAACTCGGCGAGTCTGGTCAACTGGCAGTTGACTGTGTCTTGACTCATGACTTGTTAAGGGTAAATGGACAATTTACCCTGAGTGGGGTTAGCAGTATTTGACTAAGTGTTTGGTGGGAATTACAGTCGGAGGATTTCCGGAGCAGCAGCAGCAGACAGACCATTCCCACACAGATCAGCAGCTACTACGAGGTGAGTTACCTTCCAGTAGCGGTGGGTCTAAGGCCACAATGCCGACCCACCAGTAGGAGATGTATGATAGATGATTGTCTTTGTGATATCATCTAGGTTTGCTACTACCTGATATGTTATATGCTAGCATGATATGTTGTATGAGATAGTTGTAGAGTTCGGTTGTTAGGACCGAAGGGTAGTCAGACACCCCAGATACGTCTGACAGTATGTGATGATATGTTTGCATGTTGGCTTGTTATGTTATATTCGATAGAGGTAGTAAAAGGGGACTAGTCCCCGAGTTCGGTTGCTAGGACCGAAGGGTAGTTCAGGCACCCCAGATATGTCTGATAATATGTTATGTTAGGATATATGTGATAGTAGCAGTAGAGGGTGAAATAGTCCCCGAGGTTTGGTCGTCAGGACCGAAGGATAGTCAGCACCCCAGAATGGCTTGACACGGGTAGGTTGGCATCCCAGAATAGTCGTACCGGGTAGGTCGGGCACCCCAGAAATGCCTGGCAATATGTATGATATGTGATTGTATGGTATGCGGTATGATGGGGGAACTCACTAAGCTTCGTGCTTTCAGTTTTCAGTTTTGGTTTCAGGTACCTCTTCTTCGAAGGGGAAAGAGTTAGTGTGGTAGCGGCCCATCACACACATGCTCCGTATTTCGCATCGTGAGATCTTCCTGGGCAATTGTACTCTGACTTTATTATGTTTTATGAAACGTTTTTCCAGACATGCGATATCTTTATAAAATGTTATGATTAGTAAACGTTTTGATTCGAATGTTTTGCTAAATATATGTTTTCAAAAATGAGATTTTTGGCTCGTATTTTTGGGGTGTTACACATTCAATAATGACAGATGGACTTTTTGGGGTAGAATAAACGTTGAAAAGTAAAAACTTA